TAGAACTTTTATATGTTATATGAAAAGTCTAAAAATAGTTGCAAGATAGTCAAAAAAGCTATGCAAAAATGGGGAATAAAGGGCAAGAACACTCACCCTAGAAGAACACTTCCAAGATCACAAGACCAGACCTCTTCTTGGATCAAAACCAGCTCAAAAAGTCTAAGATCAACCCTCTAATGCCTCAGCAACTAAGGAAAGGTGTAATGGTAGGTGTTTGTGTGCAATAGTAAGAACAAACACACACTAAACACTCAAGAGAGGGAGAGATATAGCGATAGAGTATGAACAAACCCTAACCCTAAAACTCAAAGCTCTGAAAAATTTTGTAACCCTAATGGAGGGAGAAGAGGCTCTCTCTTATAGACAATCCCTCTTGTAAAGCTTTCCAAACAAGCTAGTCAAGAGGGAGATCCCTCCATACACACGTGTATGGAGGGGAGCAAAGTGTATGCCAGCTAGCACAGTTGGCATAAAAATATCTGCAAAAGCAGATACACAGTGGTTGGCCGGCCAAAAATGTAATTTGACCAAAATAGATGGCCGGTCGACTACAAAGAGTGCCGGTCGGCCAAACATTTGACCGGTGGCAACAAACCAGTAGCCGGTGGCCTCAAGCCATGGCCGGTGATGTGTGGAGATGGTTAACAAGCCATTCCCTGCCCCTCAAAGGCAAAGCACAAGTGTTTGGTGCAAAACCAGACACAAAACAGTCGAGCCGAGAGATCTTGAGGTAAGGCGCGTAGCCAAGATCTTCAGGAACTCAAGACAAACATAAACAAGGATGATCACCGAGTGTTCAAGCAGTGACGTCCAAGTCTCGAGGACGGTCAAAAATGGGGTGTCTACAACAACTTTGTTTTCTGTAGTGGCACAACCTACACTTGTGAATCGAGTGTTGGAGGCACATAAGGGTGACCTTGAGGTAGAATTCCTCCGAGAGATGATCTCTAGTGGGAAGGTAGAGAAGGGTTTGACCGTGCATCCCGACTTGAGTGTCAGATACCGAGACCGCTTCTTTGTGCCGGAATCTTACTGAGAGGAAGTACTCCGAGAGTCTTACCATTCACGCCTTGCGGTGCATCCGGGAGGCATGAAGATGTATCATGATCTGAGTCACTAGTTTTGGTGGAGAGGTATGAAGAAAGATGTGGCGGTGTTTGTGTCAAAGTGCCTTACTTGTCAGCAAGTGAAGGCCGAGCATCAGAGGCCAATGGGTTTGTTGCAACCTTTGCCTATAGCCCAGTGAAAATGGGAGCACGTCACGATGAATTTTGTCGTGGGTCTTCCAAGGACTCAACGGGGTAGTGATGCCATATGGGTGGTAGTTGATCGGTTGACGAAGTCGGCGCACTTTATTCCCATGCGCGTGAGAGATTCAGTAGATCATCTTGTCGACTTGTATATTCGAGACATAGTGAGGTTGCACGGGGTCCTAATGTCGATCGTCTCAGATTGAGATCCGCATTTTACTGCTAGATTGTGGTAGAGTTTGCAGAGTGCCTTGGGCACTAGATTGACTTTTAGCACGGCTTACCATCCTCAGACTGACGGGCTATCCGAGCGTACTATTTAGATCCTCGAGGATATGCTTCGAGGCTGCGTCCTTGACTTTAAGGGGTCGTGGGAGAGACACTTACGTTTAGTGGAGTCTGCCTACAACAACAGTTTCCAATCGAGTATTGGTATGGCACCATTTGAGGCCTTGTATGGCTGACCGTGTAGATCTCCAGTGTGTTGGGCCGAGATGGGTGATGCACCTTTGTTGTATGGCAATGCCAGTTTCTAACCCGATCTTTATGGTGTGTCAGACTCAGGTCTTATGATTTAATGTTGTTGTTTATGTCTTTTCCTCCTCTTACTCTTTGAATTTGAGTTTTTGAATGTCTCGAGCGTATTTAGAACAGGTTGGTTGGTAGTTGGTCTAAAACCTTGTTGCCCAGAATTTTGGTTTTTCGCTCGAGTGGGTCTTCTTGCGCTCGAGCGGGGATTGCAATCACTCAGTATTTTGGGTGTCTGCCAAAATACTGCAGAAGTGTTTTTCACGCTCGAGCGGCGTTTCTTACGCTTGAGCGTTTGTTTGAAGCCTGTAAAATACTGGGCGAGTGTATTCTACGCTCAAGCGGGTACCCTTACACTCGATCGGGTAGTGCCTTGCAATTGTGTCTTGGGCGCTCGAGCGTCTTTTATTGCGCTCGAGAAGGTCTAATTTTTGTGTTTGATGCTCGAGCGTCAAACTCTCCGCTCGAGCGAACTATACGTATATTAGATCGCGAAAGTGACATTTTAAATCACTTTTTCTGTCATTTCTCTATCTAAAACTTTCCAAAACCCTAAGTTGAGAGCTTCTCTCTCTAGAATACACTCTCTCTCTACATTTTGGCCTTAATCTAGTGGTTCCCAACCGTTGTGTCTTCATCAAAAAGGTTGAGCTCTTCAAGATCTCCATTTTCATCTAAGTAGAAGTTAATTTTGTCATCTTTGGAGTTTGTCTCTTGCTTGGCTCATCTTCTCTTCTTGAGGTACGGATATTCTTCTCATCTTTATGGGTTTTAACATAAATATTGGTCATTTTGTATAAATGGTGGGATTTGGGGGATTTTGGATGAAGTTGGGGTTTGAGATTAAAATGGTAAAGAGGGGTCTTCCATTTTTGGGGTTCCATGTGTATGTGTGGTCTCAAAAATGAAGTTATTGTGTATAATGAGTGAAATTTGGCCTTGGGTGCAATATTTAAGAAGAGAGGGAAAATGCCCTAATTTGCATTATGTAAACTATTTGTGTAATTCATGAAATCAATGTAGAAATATGAAACTGGTTTAGAAATTGTGAAATTGGGGAGGATTGTGGTTAAATGATGCAGTTGGATTGATAAATCACTCACCTATGGAAAAGTTGATAATTTATCTATTTAATTAATTTAATTATCTGTTTAGAAATAACTATTTTGAGCTATTGGTAGAGGATAACGACGATTGTTGTAAAAATTGCACAATGATTAGGTAAATTGAAACTAATCAATTGGATTATGTCATTGAATATGACGGTTGGATATAAACATTGAATATGTGAATTGTTGGGTCATTGTATATGTCACGACCCAAACCCGGCCCTATGGGTTTAGCACCGTAACCGGCCAGTAATCCGAGATTACCGAAGGCCTGCAGGACAGTAATCGGAGTGTTCAGGGTGAAAGTCCCGAAATCTTATATATATTTGGGTGCCAGTTCCCTCGGACGTAGTTCCGTAAAATGGCAAGTGAATGGAATGTTTGAATGATGTTTATTATTGAATTGTTATTATATAAGTCGTAGTCTCATTTGAGTTATTATGGACAATGATTTGGTTTGGATAAATGAAAGGAAGCATTTTGTAAATGTTGATTGGTTATGGAAAGAATGTAAGTTGGCTTAGAAGTGTTAATCATTTATCAAATGCTAATGTTTTAGTTAATTCTCATATACTGTTTAGTATATCTCTACTGGGTTGTGGCTCACCCTACCTGGGACACCATTTTTCAGGTACAGATGTTATGCCGCCCCCAAGATCTTAGCCAGGGAGGTTTTGGAGTTGAAGACTCCCTTTTGTTATTTGTTTTGGATTGTTAAATGTATATTCAAGCTTAGGGCTTTCTATGTATAGAGCTAGGACTCTTTTTGTTGTAACCAAGTGATGACTTAGAAAACTGTAAGCCCGTAGGGCATTTATTTGTTTAACATCTTTTGTAAAGAATACTCTGATGAATGTAATATGTAATACTTTTATTATGTTTTATGGATTATTTGAATGGTTAGACTATGTCTTGTTTTGAGGGCGTTACATGTTGGGTCCAGAGTTAGTGCAATAAACGACGGAGAAAGTGGCACTTATCCGTAAGAGATTGGTTACAGCCCAGAGCCGCCAAAAGAGTTATGCCGACTGTCGGAGGAGGCCTTTGCATTTGAGGTGGGTGATCACATCTTTCTAAAAATATCACCTAGGCGGGGTTTGATGAGGTTTGGGAAAAGTGGGAAGTTGTCCCCTCGATTTATTGGCCCTTTTGAGATCCTTGAGCGAATTGGGGAGGTTGCCTACCATTTAGCATTGCCGCCGCAACTGTCCGGAGTACATGACGTGTTTCATGTTTGTATGCTTCGGAAATATGAGCAGGATCCATCGCATATACTAGATTGGACCAACTTAGAAGTTGATGAGGATGCCTCGTATGAGGAGAGACTGGTGAGGGTCTTAGATAGGTGGAACCAAGTCTTGCGAGGCAAGATGATTCCCTTGGTCAAAGTATTGTGGAAACATCACGGGGTTGAGGAGGCCACTTGAGAACGTTAGCTGGAGGTCCGAGAGAAATATCCTGACCTATTTGCGGGTATTTGAGTATGTGTGGAAAATTCTGTTTTGTTAATGAACTATAAAAATATTGTATATGTTTTCGGTTATAAAGCATTGTATATGTTTTGAGATTATGAGTTGTAGTCTCATTTTAAATTGTTTGGATAATATTGAATAATGTAAGTGGATTGATTTGGATAAACGAAAGGAAGCGGTTTGTGAATGTTGATTGGTTATGGAAAGAATGTAAGTTGACTTATAAGTGTTAACATTTATCGAATGCTAATGTTTTAGTTAATTCTCATATACTGTTTAGCATATCTCTATTGGGCTGTAGCTCACCCTTCTTGGGACACCATTTTCAAGTACCGGTGATATGCTGCCTCCAAGGATATAGCTTGGGAGGTTTAGGGGCTGAGGGCTTCTTTTTGTTGTTACCTTTTTGTGTTACGTGTAATTCAAGCCAAGGGCTTTATATGTAAAAGAGTTAGAACTCTTCTTTTATGTAACCAAGTATTGACTTGGAAGGTTGTAAGCCGTTGGTTATCTATTTTGTTGACATGCATGTACCATCTTTTGTACAGAACACTCTGATGTATAGAATATAATACTTCTTTTATGTGTTATGGATCTTATGAATGAATGAGTTATGTCTTATTCTGAGGGCGTTACAGATCCCTCTGCCCCAGAGACATTGATGCGCGCATTAGAGGTTTTGAATTACTTGGGAGCGTTGGATGATAAAGGAAACTTGACCAAGCTGGGTGAGATCATGAGTGAGTTCCCCTTGGATCTGCAGATGTCAAAGATGCTTGTTGTCAGCCAAGAATTTACCTGTTCAAATGAGATTCTGTCTATTTCTACCATGCTTTCAGGTTTGTCGTTTGTTACTTGGCTTTCTTTGTGTCTGTGAGTCTAATTGTGGGTCTAAGTTGATGTAGACCACGATGGGCTGAGAATGCTGCTTCATTATTTGTGAATGCGTGCCCATTTTGTATCATGTGCATAGACATGTATCTAGGCATATGATGTTACATGTTTAATTGCATTTTTTGTACATGGTGTACATCTGCATGCAGTTAAATGTGTGTCCACTTAGGTTGTCATCAACAACTATCTTGTTTGGGTTCCATGCCCCCTGTTGGCATGCACCATAGAATTTCTAAGTAAGTGCTGATGCAAATAGTTGCGGTTTCTCAGTATTCTCTCATGAAACACATGGTGTCGTCTCGCCTCTATGCATCTGCTGACCTACCGTGGGCCTCCTCTGTGATAACCTATTTTTTCTTTAGTACCCAATTGCTTTATCCGGCCTAAGGAGGCTCAAAAAGCAACAGATGAAGCAAATGCATGGTTTGGGCACATTGATGGGGATCACCTTACGCTCTTGAATGTATACCATGCATACAAGTAAAATAGTAAGTATCTAACTGCATTCTCTGTTTTTTTCTTTTTTCTTTGAGAATCAGAGAGGCTTTTATTAATGCCGTATGTATTTCTTATCCTTCTTACATGTGAATGGGTTTCAGACGAGGATCAATCTTGGTGTTACGAAAACTTTGTCAACCAAAGGGCATTGAAAGCTGCTGATAATATGAGATAACAGCTAGTTCGGATCATGGCTAGGTTCAACTTCAAGCAATGCAGTACAGATTTTAACAGCCGTGACTACTACATCAACATCAGGAAAGCTATGCTAGCTGGATATTTCATGCAGGTGGCTCATCTGGAGCACACTGGACACTATTTAACTATGAAAAACAACCAAGTACGTAGATATGTTGATTCATCTCTTGTTTTAACCTCTAGGAGATTGTATATTTGACTCACATGGGACAAGATTTTTTCTTACATTTTTCTAATACTGTAATGTGGCATATGTAGGTGGTTCACTTGCACCCTTCAAATTGCCTGGATCATAAGCCAGAGTGGGTCATCTATAATGAGTTTGTCTTAACAAGCAGAAATTTCATCTGCACAGTAACAGGTGTTCGTGGGGAATGGTTAGTTTCTTTTTCTAATATGCGGTTCTATTGGTTCTTGTTCAATATAGTTGTCAGCAGAGTATTGTTCACCATAGAAATAGGGAATTTAATACATGAAATAGTACAAAATTTATACACATTTTGTATGAGACAAAAATACCAAACTTTGATTAGTTTCTTACTGTTTATGCTAACTATGCATAATATGGAAGTAAAGATCTACAAATCTCCTAAACAAAAATTATGCATAATTCTACTACTATGTTATAAGTGTCTGTTTTCTTGTTTGTCTCGTAGTTGTCGAGTGTATGATGTCAAATTTAATACTAAAAGAAGTCATAGGTAATGAGCTGTGGAGCAAAGAAGATTGAAATTTATGTTTATAGGAGTGTTCAAATGCGTTGCTACTGATGCATGTCTAATACAGATGTGTCTGCTTTATAATAGTGTCAATGCCATTTGCATTGAGGATTCTTCCATAAAAATAAAGCTTGTTGCTGTTCTGTTTTGTAGAAGGCTTCTTTAATTTCTATCTCCATTCCTTCATAATAGTGATTTTATTATCACTAGTTCTATATTGGCTCAAAAAATTCTCGTGAATTAGGTAGACGACTTAGAAGCAGTTTGGGGAAAATATCCACCCTTACATCATAGCTTGCTTGGACTATCTCTCTCTCTGTCTGCCTGATGAAAGGATGTTGGGGTTGACCTCATTTTGAGTTTTCAATGTATAGGCTTTGCTCTGTTGTTCTTGATAGTTAACCCAGCTTTTGCTGAAAATTGGTGAGGCAAAAAAATAAAATAAAATAAAACTAGATGTTTTTTAGACCTGATGTTAGTAAAACTGAGGTTTGCCTTGCACAGACAGGAACAATTCCCACTCAAACCAGGTTTTTGCCGTTCCCAAACAAGCCCTTCCCTTCTCTCTCTGTCTCTGCCTCTTTTCTGTGACAGGTTGGATGTTAAAATCATCACAATTTTTTCAGTTGTCTGGGGTAAAGACAATTCGTCTTATGGATAGGCCTGAAGCTTCTCAATATCCATGTTGGTTGCTTGTTTGTTTTGTTGACCCCTTCTGTATGCATTAAAGGGTAATCGAAACAGATTAACAACACTTTTATTGCTATCATAAAGGATTATTAGTATTTTTGTTATGAATAAAGTGCTATTGTTCCTAACTGTTTTATATCTATATATATTTATTATTATTAATGACGGGACTGGGAATTTATATTTTAGTGGTGGACAGGAATGTGATTTGTTAAAGTAGTGTTTTTTTGTTGGATCGCATGCCTGCTTGACTTTTCACCTCTATTCACGTTTTGTGTTTTTGCTATTTTGGGTCGATTCAGGTTAGTTGATATAGCACCACACTACTTTGACCTTGCAAACTTTACTCCTTGCGAGGCAAGGTGTGTTCTTGAGAAGCTATACAAGAAAAGGGAAAATGAGAAGGAAGAGAGCAGGAACAAAAAGTGAAACTGTCTCCATGTTTATGCTCTCCTTGAGAATGTGTCTCAGGAGCTTTTTAGTGTATTTGAGAGCTGTGTTATCTGGATTTTATTAGCCCAGCAATACCTCTCAACAGATCCCAGTTTCAAGAAAAGCACAATGGAAGAGAAGATAAATTCACGAGCTGTATGAACTCTCCTTGTTTTTGATGATGTGGTTTTCTTGCATTTTATTGTTATAGATTTCTTTCTCTAATTTGACACAAGAAAATGGGTTTTACCGTGCAAGGATAAAGACGTTCTCTCCTCTCGCTACTCGCTTCCCTCCCAACCTGACCGATTTTTCTGCTTGATTAAATGGAATTCCGAACCATATCACCATTTACTATGTATCTTTTTGCTTTTTACTGGATATAAATTTTACAGAGGTGGTTATAGCAATCCCGGTTCCTTTCTTTGATTAATTGTATTCCGAGCTCGGGTCCGTGGATGTTGGTTGTTGTCTCATTCTCGTTTCCATCCTTTACTCTTTGTGTTTGAGTCTTGGGTTGTGTTGGGCAGGTTTGAAATAGGTTGGTTGTGTTTGGAAACCAAGAGTTGATGCCCAGATTTTGGCCTTCACGCTCGAGCGGGGCTTTTGACACTCGAGCAGGCCCTTTGCTTTTGTTCTTCCGCTCGAGCGAGCAATTTGGCGTTCGAGCGGGATTATTTAGTCTCCAATATTTTTCCCTGCAGGTCATCGGACGCTCGAGCGTCCACTTTCACGCTCGAGCGGGGACCTTCGTCTGCGGAACTTCTGGAAGTGTGTATTCGACGCTCGAGCAGCGCTTTTCACGCTCAAGCGTGAGTCTGTGTCTGACGCTCGAGCGGGGCGTTCCACGCTCAAGCGGACTGTGTTGTATATCAGTCCAAATTTTAGCATTTTGAATCACTTTTTCGGGCCATTCTCTCTCTCTAGCTTTACAAAACCCTAATTTGAGAGCTTCTCTCTCTAGAACTCTCTCTCTCTCTCTCTACATTTTGATCTTGGTTTAGTGAGACCCAACCCTTGTGCCTTCATTAAAGTGGTAGAGCTTTGCAAGACCTCCATTTTGATCCAAAAATCTTTGGGTTTGGAGCACCTTCGAATTCCTTCATCCTCCTTTGAGCTCCGAAATTTGAGGTAGGGATAACTACTCATATTTATGGTCTTTGACATAAACATGTAGTCATTTTGATTTAATGTTGAAGTTGGGAAATTTTGGGTGTTAGGGTTTCAAAATGTATAAAGAGGGATTTTGTTCTTTTGACCCATACATGTGTATTTTGGGTTCTAAATTGAGGTTATTAATGTTTATTGATGATATTTGGACCTCCGGGTCGATGTTGAGAAAAGGGGAAGAAAAGCCCTAATTTATTGTGACGAATGAATTTGTGTAATTAACTTGGGAAAGTTATGGAAATATGAAATTGAGTTCGAAATAATGAAATTGGGTAATTATGAGATTTAATGGTGGAGTTGGATTAATTAATCACTTACCTTTGAAATTGTAGATAATTTATCTGTTTGATAATTCATTATCTGTTTAGAAATAATTGTTTTGGGCTATCGGTGGAGGATAGTCTTGATTGTTGTAGACACTGCATGATGATTAGGTGAATTATAACTAATCAATTGAGTATGTCATTGAATATGACGAAAGGATTAACACATTGAATATGTGCTTTGCTTGATCATTGCATATGATAAGTGTTTAAATACATTGTATATGTATGTTGTTTGGGAGAAGATAGGTCTCACGACCCAAACCCGCCCCTATGGGTTTAGCACCGTAGCCGGCCAGTAATCCGAGATTACCGAAGGCCTGCTTAACAGTAATACAGTAATACAGAGTACAGGGGCTGGCAGAAGCCAATACAGTAAATAGACAGTGTCCAATGAGCTGTGACAGTCTGTATGCAAAACGACTTTTCATTCAAATATATACAATCAGACAAAACAGTATGTACATATATACAATCATTCAGTCAGGGACCTAATCCCTATTAAACAGTACAGTAACAGTCTATACAGTTATGCAAAACAGATACAGAGACAGATGGGGAAATCAAAACACCCCTAAGCCGTAGCTTGACAGGCTCGGAACCTCGCATTGAGGCACATAGGTTGGCTTGACAAAACTGGAGTTTACCCCGGCGCTTCTAGCTGCGGTCTGGTGCCTGAACACTTACATATATATATGAACAGTGAGCTAAAGCCCAGTGAATAACACAATACGAAAAGGGGTTAAGAATGAATGTCCTTACAGTAATGAAAACAGTTCATTAAACCAGTATTTCAGTCGTTTAGTCAGTATAGTCATATGTGGTACATCCATTAGCATAACAGTATAGTGAACAGTAGGTCTTAAAAGACCAAGCAGTAAATGATGGCCATCAGTCAGTAACAGTAGTGGTTCCAACGAGGGAACCGACAGAGATCTCTGTAACAGTAACAGTAAGCAGTAGGTGCTAAGGATGCCACAATACAGTTCAGAATATAGGACATACATTCATTCGATTAACAATATCAGTTCAGAAAGCAGTACAGTTCGATTGTTCAGAAGATAATCATTTTGAACATATCTTTACACAGTTGTTACTCACAAAGTTCTGGGCTACGGTAAGGCTAGAACGCGTCCTCAGTCGCCAACCCTACACAGTTTACAGATTGAACACACACACTAAGCCACACAGTTGGGAAAGATAATAACTTAATCCCTAATTTGCCTCGGTGTGGTTCTACATCTATATCATCAATAAGATGTCTTAGACTAGGCCTAAGAATGCCTAGAATGGGATGAGGATGCAAAAATGCACTTGAAAAAGTATTTTCAGACTTTTCAGAAAACAGGGGTCACGCTCGAGCGTAGGTTACTCCGCTCGAGCGGACATGCAGACAAAGGTTTCCGCTTGAGCGTAGACTTACCCGCTCGAGCGTTCTTCAAAACAGTCAAAAGTGCTGGATAGGCGAAAATCACACTTGATGGGGCGCTCGACACCCGCTCGAGCATGAGACACAATGTCCCGCTCGAGCATCAATTATTCCGCTCGAGCGGAATGCAAAACAGAACAAAATGCTCGGAGCACGATTTCCACGCTCGAGCGCCAGTCACCCCGCTCGAGCGTGAGTCCAAATTCTGGAAATTCCAGATTTGAACCTCAAGCTCAAAACCAAGTTTTAAACTATAAATTTCGATCCTCTTGGGCCAATTTTCCAGAAAACATATCAAAACTCATACCTTAACATGATTCAAAGCTCAATTTGTAAAATCAAGGCCCAATGGTGTTTCAAATAAATCCAATTCAAACCAATTTCCATGAATATGAGGAACATACCAACATGCATGAATTTAAACACTTCAAAGCTTCAAATGCTAGCTCAAATGAGCCCATTCTTTCTAAAAACATGATGAAATCATGCACTAGAACTCTAATATGAACATGCAAGTAACAATCTTCCATGAAAACAACTTCAAACTCATGAATATAGGCATGCATGCATGGAATGAGCTCTTAATTCAACAACTTGAGCTAGTTCTAGGCTTAGGTCACTAAGAACACAAGAACCATGGATGAACAAAACAAGATAATAAACAACTACCAACATCCACGGACACATGTCCGGATCACTGCACAACAAGGGTAAACCCGGGATCGCTATAACAATCTTCCATGAAAACAACTTCAAACTCATGAATATAGGCATGCATGCATGGAATGAGCTCCAATTCAACATTAATGAACCAATTCTTGACTTAACTCTTCAATTAGACATGAACCATGCAAGAATCAATTTAAACACAATAATGAGGGGTTGAATTTCGTTACCTAGGTCTTCAATTACAAGAGTAGAAGTTCAATTTAGGCAAATCTCCTACAAATTCTCCAAGTCTCCAAGCTAGACTCTCACTTGAACTCAACTCCCTCACTCTCACTCTCTCTAGTCGGCTAACACTCAAAATGGCTGATGAAATGTACAAGGTAAAATGAAGGCAAAGCTCAATATGTTCAATGTGGTGGGCCACTAAGTGGCACCAATGTAAATAAGTCCAATTCATGTAACTTACATCATACCCAATCACATTTCAAATAAATATGCCATAAAATCACATAAATTCTAATGATCATAAAACATCAATCAATTTCAGATTCGGCCACCGATAAGGCCTTCAATTCGCAAAGTCGAACATAAAACACAAACAGATAATCAAGCAATCAAACATATAGACATACAATTAAACAGGTATACTCAGTCAATTCAGTTTCAATTTCAGTCAGTCAGTTCAGTATTTCAATCAGTTCAATTACTATCCATAATCAGTCTCAGTTTAACGGTAATCGGTGGTTATTCGGTAAACAGTGACAAGGGTTGTTACAATAAGGGATGTACTCCACGGTTTGGGAGGAGATAGGGGATGGACTCCTAAACTGGATTTGTGAGGAGATAGGGGATAAACTCCAGTGATAACTAAGTTGGCCGGTGACAATTTCAGATTCGGCCACCGATAAGGCCTTCAATTCGCAAAGTCGAACATAAAACACAAACAGATAATCAAGCAATCAAACATATAGACATACAATTAAACAGGTATACTCAGTCAATTCAGTTTCAATTTCAGTCAGTCAGTTCAGTATTTCAATCAGTTCAATTACTATCCATAATCAGTCTCAGTTTAACGGTAATCGGTGGTTATTCGGTAAACAGTGACGAGGGTTGTTACAATAGGGGATGTACTCCACGGTTTGGGAGGAGATAGGAGATGGACTCCTAAACTGGATTTGTGAGGAGATAGGGGATAGACTCCAGTGATAACTAAGTTGGCTGAAGTGTCCAGGGTGAAAGTCCCGAAATTTGAATTACGTTTGTATAACGTAGATGATTGAAGTATTGGAATGATGATAATTTGAGTTATAATCTCATTTGAAATGGAAGTGTTAATATGTTAATTATGAGAGTATAGTCTCATTTGAAATTGAATCATTGAAGTATTGTTAATATGAGTTGTAGGCTCATCATGAACTGTTTGGCTGAATAAGGAACCATATCTATGAATTGGTTTGGATAATAAAATGGAAAGGAATATATGTTTGTTTATACAAGTTAAACATTTATCAAATGCCTGTGTTTTAGTTATTGCTCATATT